GGATGGCATTTTAACTGGTCCCAGGTACAAAAGAACTTGCCCGACGTACCTTGTCTGCACACTGGTCGGGTATCCTTTCAGCAGAGCAGAGGTCCCACATTCTACGATTTTTTCGGCTACATTTATTATTGGCACGCCTGATATTTATCTGTAGGAATATTAGGAGATGTTTAGATGTAGGTAGGTAGATATGATTGAGTATCTTATATTATGGCACTCTGCTTTATTGTGAATATATGGAGAATGTTGTAGAAGGTAGGGATAGATGTGATATTACTATATTATATATATATAGGGATATACAGTGTGTAGAGAGTGATGGCCACAGATATGAGTACTGTCCACATGTTTACAAATCGAGGTAGCTATTAATGCGTAGGTGTGGATGCAGTTCATGCACAGTGCAAAGTAGCAAATAAACAATTAGATCGCGTTACTGTGCCGAGCATGTACGTACAAACTGGAAAATAATACTCAACTAGGCCTACTAAGAAATTATTACGCAGAGAAGTTGGTACACGAATACTGTGCGTCATACGATCAAATAAAATCTAGTGTTATAAATGTATTCTGAAAGATGAGCGTTGACACACCACACACACCACACACACACACAACACACAAAACCACACCACACACACCACACCACCACACCACCACCACACACACACAACACACACACACACACACACACACATCACACACCCCTACACACACACACAACAACACACACACACACCACAACCACCACACACCACAACCACCACACAAACACACACAACCACCACACAACACACCCACCCACACACACCACACACAACACACAAACCCACACAACAACCACAACACACCACACCCAAACACACACACAACACACAGCAACACACACACAACACACGGACACAGCAACACACACCACACACACCACACACCACACCACACACCCACACACACCACACACACAACACACAACACCACACACACAACATCACACACCCAACACACAAACACACACACACACACACACACACACACACAACACACACAACACACACACACACCAACCCACACACACACACCCACACACAACACCACACACACACCACACACACACACACACACACACACACCCACCCACACACCAACCACACCAACACAACACCACAAACACACACCACACACATCACACCAACAAACACAACACACAAACACACACCACACACCACAACACACACACCCGACAGCACACAACCACACACACCACACACGACACACACACAGCACACTGACACACACACAACACACCACCAACCACCAACAGCACACACACACACACACACAAACACACACAACCCAGCTACACACACCACACACCAACACTCACCACTCACCACACACACACACACACAACAACACCCCACACACCACACACCACAACACACACACACACACCACGCAAACAGCACACACAACACCACACACCAGCCACAACACACACACACCACACCCACAACACAACAACCAAACACACACAACCACAACTACACACACACACACACAACACACACCCACACTACAACACACACACCAACACACCACACCCATCACACACACACCACACCACACACAACACAGACACACCACACCACCACACAACACACAGCACACACACACACCACACAACCACCACACACGCACAACACACCACACACACAACACACACAACACACAAACACATACACACAACAACACCCAGCACACCACACACCACACACACACAACACACACACACACACACACACACACACACACACACACACACACACACATATATATGAAGTGAACATAAACAAGACTGTTATTCACTCTTTGTATAAGATTTGATCTTACAGTACAAAAATGAACCCATGTATATTTTATATACTGATAAACAGGTTTATTGTGTAAGTTACGCCCAGTGTTACTTCTATATACATTAACTAATACTAACGAGGGTAATACTCTACGAGCGTTAACCGAAACTTTAAAACCTCACGATTGATGAGAGATGTCATGTTTCTGTTAGTAATACTGCTTCTGCTTCTGCTGCTGCTGCTACTTCTTCTTCTTCTGCTGCTGCTGCTGCTGCTGTGGCTACTGCTTCTTCTGCATCTGCTCTTGTTGTTGTTGCTACTGCTGCTGCTGATGATGATGCTGCTGCTGCTGCTGCTGCTGCTGCTGATGGTGATGATGCCCGCCATCTTGCATATGATATACGTGAGCAGTCTTGAGGTAGTTGTAATTCTAAGGCACGCGTTGTGGATGGAGGGATGGTCACCGCAGTCTCGCTAGAGTCTCACTCGTAAAATGAATCTATCGTCATTGGTGTAATCACGTTCTTGAGCTGTCGAGTTTGACTCTTGTCCGACGGTCGTAGAGATAGAGTTTATATCTGGAGGAGGAGGTACTATAGGGTTTACCTCTGGGGAGAGAGGTTCTATACAATTTACCTCTGAAGGGAGAGATATGATAGAGTTTATCTCTGGAGTGGGAGATATGATAGGGTTTACCTCTGGCAAAGGATATGTGAAAGAGTTGACATCTGGAGGGGAATGTGTGAAAGAGTGGAACTCTGGAGGGAGGGCAACATCTGAGTCCGGGGGTGGCTGTCTCACGCTCGCGCCGGTGGCTCCACCGTGCGGCGACCGCACGCGCATCTGCGCCGGCGCCGTCGCCACATGCCTGAGCCGTCCTGCAGCGCCACCCGGCGGCGGCGGCGGCGGCGGCGGTGGCGCTAGCGTCGCTTCGGCGGCGGGAACGCCAGCGTCGTCGGTCGGACAGCAGGGGGCGTTCGCGTCGAGTTCGCCCAGGTGGAACATGACGGTGTTGGGCGGCGGAGGCTGCGGCGGGGCGCCGTAGTCCAAACGGGCCGCCGGCGGAAGTCGTCGAATCGCCATCTTGATCGCGTCCTCGTACGCCGGCAGACTCGCCGTACTCGACTCACCGATCGAACACCGCGACAGACTCTTCCCCGCCGACTCGTCGACGATCCGCCGCACGCCGCCGGCAGGTGGCGCCGCCGGTCGGCTGAGGACGAACGCCTGGCTGTACGACGGCGGCAGGTCGGCGGCGACGTCGACGTGGAAGTCGTTCGTCAGCGCCGTCTGGCGTCGCTCGGCGCTGCTGATGCTCTGTTCGCGTTCGAAGCGGCGGCGGAGGTAGAAGCACATCCCGTAGATGACGCCGCAGATGAGAGCGATGGCGAGCACGAAGAGCACGGTGGATTGAGTCTGCTCGCCCAGCAGGTCGTGGTCGTCGTCTGCGTGCAAGAGAGAGAGAGAGAGAGAGTGAGGGAGAGAGAGAGAGAGGGAGAGGGGGAGAGGAGGGGGAAAGAGAGAGAGAGAGAGAGAGAGAGGGAGAGGGGGAGAGGAGGGGGAAAGAGAG